TTTTTCAGTGCACCTGGTGACACATTGACAAGTTATCTTTTCCACATACAGATATATGTATGACAACGACTAAACAGACATGATACATACTTGGGCATCTCTGACACATACCAGAAATGTATATACATGCATATCTTTGGCCAATAATAGTTGACAATACTATAAAATAGAGGGTGTGCTTTGGATTCATTCATCCTAGGCTCAGATTCTAGCTCTGCCCTTACCTACCACCTGTATAATTTGGAGTATATGAAGCAAGCACTTGGTGCCTTGGCTACTTGTGAGTGGAAGTATTAATGTTGGTAGAGTTTTGTCACTTTGAGAATAAGTTTTCTATCGAGGTCAAAACATTGGTATTAATTGTTTTTCCCCCAAGAATTTTCTGGCTCCAAATTTATAGATTCAAAGGAAACTTAGTTGAGATATGAAAAGTACTTTCAAGTGAGATGACATTTAACTTGAATTTTGTAGGGCATTAGTGAATTAGAGAAGGCTTAGGAATTCGATCTATACCCTGGCAACAGCGTATTAATAGTTAATACTGTAGTAATAGGTCAAGATGGTAGGAACATTTTTTTTTTTTGAGAGTCTGAGTTCAATTCTCAGCCCTAGGCAACTTGAAACAGCTTGTGCTAGGGCAATGGGGAGGAGCGGCTCTACCTGTCATAGCTGAGGTAAGTATGAGGGTGGAGTAGTGACAGACAAAATATAAAACCCCCAGATGGGAGCCAGCCATGGGGGTGCACATCCGTGATTTAGTACATTGAAGACTGGGGCAGGAGGATGGCCACAACTTTGAAGTTAGCCTGCCTGGGATATGTAATGAGTTTAAGGTCAGCCTGAGGTACTTTATAGAGACCCTGTATCAAAAAAACAAACAAACAAAAAAACCAAAAAACCCCCAAAACAAACAAAAAAGCCAAACCAGTCTGGAGCAAATATAGTGCCAGGGAATCTGAGCTGGTTCATGACTGCCTGCAACTCCAGCCATAGGGTGTTCTGAAGTCTCTGGCCTCTGCAGGGATCCTTATTCACATGCACATACCTACCATCACACCCCCATCACACCCCCACCCACCCTCACACCCCACCCCCAATCACACCCCACCCACCATCACATACACCCCACCCCCACCCCAATCACACCCCACCCACAATCACACCCCACCCACCATCACATACACTCCACACCCACACCCACCATCACACCCCACCCCCTCCCACATCACACCCCCACCCACCATCACATATACCCCACCCCACACCCCTAATCACACCCCATCCCCACCCACCATCATACCCCACCCCACCCATCATCACACACTCCTCATACCCACATCCACCCACACTCATGCCCACTCAAAGAATAAAAAGATCAACACTTGGGAGGCAGAGGCAGGAGAATCTCGGTAAGTTTGGGGCCAGCCTCATATACATATTGAGCTCCAGGACATCCAGGGGTACAGAGAGACTTCGACTCAAAAACAGATATATAAATAAATAAATAAATAAATAAATATCAGTCAATTAATCAAACAATCCCCCCAAATTTTATAAACAGCAGCCACACAACATTCTTACAAAAAGAAGAGTATCCTAAATACAATCAAGTCTTTAGATTTAACTACTAATTTCCAGGAAATTTGAGCTTTGAAGCAAATGTGAATGATATCATGAGGATATGGTTAAGTTCAGAATGTGGAAAAATTGTATAGAATATTCCCTCCCTCTTCTCCTTCCTTCCTTCCTTCCTTCCTTCCTTCCTTCCTTCCTTCCTTTCTTTCTTTTTTCCTTCCTTCCTTCCTTCCTTCCTTCCTTCCTTCCTTCCTTCCTTCCTTCCTTCCTTCCTTCCTTCCTGTATGCCTGCCTGCCTGCCTGCCTGCCTGCCTACTTGTCTGTCTTTCTGAGACAGGTTCCCACATTAGCTCAGGCTGTCCTTGAACTTGAAGCAATCCTCCTGCCTCAGCCTCCTGAACACTGGGATTATGGGCTCTTGACCCCAAGGAAAAGTGCTAAGAACGAGTCACACCCTGCTGAAGCAGAGGGCTTGCTTTTCTGATCCTGGTCAATTGACTCCCTTAGTTTACTGAAATCTTGAATTCTTCAAATTAAATTGCTTTTTTTCCCCCTCAGTAAAGTTTTACTCATAAAACTCTCAGGACAGATCTATTTTTTGCCGTTGTTATATTGGTTAAAGAGCCACTACTGTGGTGTCAGGGAGTCTAACTTAGGACCTTATGTGTGTTAGGCAACTGTTGTACATCTGAACTCTCCCCAGGCCAGAGATTTCCCATTTCTTTCTCCTCTTTATTGTCATTGTTGACTCTTGGTCTTACTATGTAGCCGAGGTTGGCCTAGAACTCAATCCTACTGCCTCAGGTTCCCAAGTGTCAAGATTACAGTCTTGTGCTACCACCCAGCCAATCCATAATTCTGTATATGTATGTGCATGTGTATGGAAGCTTGTATATATGGATGCTAGATGCTAAACATCCCCACCAGGTGATTTCTTATCTATCTATCTATCTATCTATCTATCTATCTATCTATCTTCCCTCTTCCTTTCTCCCGACCGCTCTGGCTCCACTCGCTCTGGCCCAAAGGTTTTATTATTTATTTATTTATTTATTATATTTATTTTACACTGCAGCTGTCTTCAGACACACACCAGAAGAGGGCATTGGTTCTTGTCACAGATGGTTGTGAGCCACCATGTGGTTGCTGGGAATTCAACTCAGGACCTCTGGCAGAGCAGTCAGTGCTCTTAACCACTGAGCCATCTCTTCAGCCCAAGCATATGTTTTCTTAAATGACTTTAGGCACTTTTTTTTTTTTTTTGATGTTTGCTTGGTTTTGAGATAGAGTTTGATATAACCCAGATTGGCTCAAATTCCTTATGCCAGGATAACCTTCACTTTGAACTGTTGATTCTCCTGCATCCACAACAAACAAAATGCTGGGAGAGGTAGAGCCATGAGCCACCACACTAGTAAAACACACACACACACACACACACACACACACACACACAGACACACAAACTTTGTGTCTGTATATATGTTTGTATGTATGTATATTAGTTTGTTTTTTGACACAGGATCTCTCTATGTAGCCCTGGCTTTCCTTCAAACTTGCCTTGTAGATCTGGCTGGCTTCCAACTTACAGAAATCCTCCCGTCTCTGCCTCCTAAGTACTGGAACTAAAATTGTGCATCATCATACCCTGCTAAAAGAGTTTTCTGTTTTTTTTTTTAATAAAGATTCTATTTTAATAAGTGCGTGTGCACTTGCACAAATATAGGACCCCATTGAGGGTGCCTGAGGGCATCAGATACTGTGAAGCCAGAGTTACATTTGGTTATGAGTTACCCCACAAGGATGCTGGAAAACTGTCCTCTGCAAAAGCAAGCAGTATTTGCTCTCAATTTCCCATCCATCCATCCATCCATCCATCCATCCATCCATGGAGGTTGTTAAAATATAGCCCAAGCTGGCCTCTAACACAGGCTCATGATTTCCTGCTTCAGCCTTTTGTGTGGTGGGATTACAGAATACAGGTGTGCCTCATCACTACCAGCTCACTTGTTAGTTCCTCAATAACAATTACAGCCTGTTCTACATAAAGATTCCTAGGCTAGCCAGCAATCAGGGGTGACTGAAGATAGTGTGTGTGTGTATTTTTAAAAATCGCTTCTAAACTCTCGATAAGATTTACCTCTTTCCTACATAGGTTACTTTACTTCGCTGGTTTTAGACTGGGTTTCACCGTGTACCCCTGAATAACCCAGAATGTACTAGGTAGACCAGGCTGGCCTAGAACTCAGACCTGCCTCTGCTTCCTGATTACTGGCCAAGTTTGTTCTTTTATACTGAAAACGGTTTTTCATTTACTCTAGGTCTACAAAGCCCTTTGAAGTTCCTTTTCTTCTATCACAAATTTATAGGATGGCTTATATGCAAGTCTAACTGCCTTTCCCAAACTATTTAACCATCAGAACCGCACAAACGCAGGTACATAGTGATTATGCTGCCAAGTTTATCTCTGGATCCCACGAGAAGGATCCAGGAATGAGATGTTCTACACTTTGGAGCAAAGTTTCACTCTGGCAGTATTAGTGGGAGGCTGATGTTCTGGAAACATAGTGGGAAGAAGGAAGGACTGCAATGAACTCTTCTCAGGATTTCCGGGCTGGATAGCACGCACCTGACGCCCGCGTGGTAAAGGCAAGTTGAGGGTGGGACTGGACCAAGCCTAAGACTTAGGGCAACCCGGGCCACTCCGCCCAGCGTAAGTATTCGCGCGCTCCCGAGGTCGCGCGCGAGTGCGCGCAGACAGTCGTGCCTCGCGCAGGGTCGGGCCTGTCAGGCAAGAAGTCTCGCGAGATCTGAGGCTGAGATGTCTGTCGGGAGGAGGGGAGTGGTGTCGGGAAGGGGGGGGAACCTGGGCAGCGGCCGAGCTCTGTGGCTTCAGGGCTTGGAAGGAGAGAGGGAGGGTGGCGAAGAGAGTGAGTCGGTGCCGCCGCCCGCTTGGGGAGAGAGGAGGGGTCCCGCTCGCCAGGCGCCCTTCGCGGGCTGAGAGCGCGGAGCAGTCGCGAACCTCCCAGGCCTCTCGGCCCCTGGGGACCCCGCCCCGCGGCCCGCCGGCCCGCGGCCTCTCTTCTCTTTGTGAGCGCCCCCTTCCCAGGGGTGGTGGTGGTAGCGGAGGGGTACGCGTGGGCCCGCCCGCCAAGGGGCCGCGGCGGGGGACCGACAGGGCCTCGGCTGTGAGGACCGGAGGCGGCCGAGGCCCGGGCCGGTTCCCCCGAGGCGGCGGCCGCGGCGACTCCCGGCACTTCCCCCGCGCCATCTTAACTGAGCCCGAGCGTTAAGGGCGCCTCCTCGACCCCGGTCGTCCCCTCGTCCCCCCCTCCCTCCCCCCGGCCCCTTGTCGCAGAGCTTGGGCTGGGTGGCTGGGGGGGGGGCAGCGGTCTGTCGCCGGGCCCCCTCCTCCTCACTCCTCGCTCTCCAGCGCTGCTGCCACCGGGGCGCTCCAGGGGTCTGCGCCCGTCTGCTCTGCCCCAGACCTGCCGGCGAAGGGGTAAGGGCACCTCTGCTTTGGGAAAGGAAGACATGGAGGGGGCGGGGAAATTCTGCCCACTCAGGCCTCTCTGGGTGAAAGAAGAGATCTGGGGGTAGAGTGGGGGAGGGAGACAGGGAGGGTCTCTGAGTCTGTGGGTGGGGTGAAAAACTGGTGAGCTGGGCGCCCTCCTGTTTTGAGGGGCCAGAGCAATTGCATTCCTTTTTCCTAAGGGTCACCGGAAGAGGTGGTGGAAGGGGATGTTTCTAAGAAGGTGTGGCTCTAGTAGGGAGATTTGAGTTGACGTGCACCCCGATTTAAAGGCGCGAGGTCCCTTTCTGGTCTCTCTGCTCATCCCGCTCGTCCTCCTTTGTAGCGTCTGTATTCTTGGGAATGGAGAATGCTCTGGGCAGCCAACTGGATCCACTCCTCCCCAAGGAAATCTGTACCTTTCTAATGTAAGGGGGTGATGGAAGCACCCCCACCCCCATCTCCTAGTCTACTGCAGTGCTGCAGGAGTCCTAGTCAGTTTCTTCGTACACATGCCCATGTATACACTGAAGTGGGGGTGGGAGGCAGGAGAAGCAAGCAATGGCGCTTCCATTGGAGAGGTTAGGTTTTTTTTTTCCCTCTTTGGTTTTAAATCGATTACAATACTGTTCGGATTCTTCCCCTGAGATATGTCCATGGGAAGTCTGCTCTTGTTACTGTTGGGATATGGCCTCATGTTAGAACAGTTTGATATTTCTCTTACTCTGTTTTGAGAGAGAGGAGGATTCCTGCATAGACTGTTGAAGGGTCTGGTAGTTTTCGTTAGGATTAAACAACAACAACAACAAAAAACCCTCATTCATTCTTTTCCTTTTCCCCCTTTGGCTTTTGTAGTTCTTTGAGAATTAGAAATTATTGCGTTTAAACTCGGATAGTCAGACGTTTGCCCCTGGGCTGTGACTTTTTAAGGTTAATAATATTTTGCATGACATTGATACAGAAAATTTCTGGCCTGGCAGTGGTGGCGCACGCCTTTAATCCCAGCCTTGGGAGGCAGAGGCAGGCAGATTTCTGAGTTTTGAGGCTAGCCTCCTCTACGGAGTGAGTTCCAGGACAGCCCGGGCCATACAGAAAAACCCTGTCTCGAAAAACCAAAAAAAAAAAAAAAGAAAAGAAAATTTCTGAAAATTATTATGTTACAAACTTTTATGTAGCAGATATTCCTTCTTAAGGAAATTTAAGGTAATGCACTCAATTATGTTATGATCTATATTCCGTACTCTTTTTTTTTTTTTTTTTTTTAACTTCATGTCATACTTACTTTAAAAGAAACCATCTTGTCCGGTTTGCAGTAGTACTTGTTGATTTCTGTGGTTAGTAGAGTAGAAGCAAAAATAACAGTTTTAGCATTCTGGTAAGTGCCTTTGAAACAAAAACTTAGCCTTCAGGTCCTGAAGAAGTGTTGATGTATATTTTTTACTTTTTCTCTCACCTTTAACAGAATCTTGATGTACACTCCTCCCCGATTTATAGGTAGGGTTTCTGTATTCATACTGCCTTGAACTCAGCAGTTCTGCCTCTCACCCCTTGTGTGCAGGGATTACAGGTGCAAGCCTCCACACCTGGGTCCGTTTTGTTGTTGTTTAGATTTACTAGTGGAGTGTTTGATGAATGTTCTATATGTGAATATTAGCAGCAATAAAGATGGCTAAACTTGCTAATTAATTATCTTGATATTTTATTAACATCACATTTAGTGTCTAAGCTTTACTTAATGAATTATTTTTAAATAATGGATACAAGGAATAACGATGTAGCAGGACTGCTAGACATTAAGTTCTTTCTCATGTAGCCCAGGCTGGGTAACTGTGTGGCTGAGGATGACTCCAAACTCCTGATACCTCTGTCTCCAACCTCCCAAGGGCTAGAATTACAGATGTGTGCCTTCATATTCCAGTTTAAACTTTGTTTTTGAAACAGCATCTCACTATACTGTGTATACAGTGGCCTGTGAGTTCTCTGGGTGGCCTGCAACTTGGTATGTAGACCAGGTTGGTCTCAAATTCACAAGAGATCTGCCTGTCTCTGCCTGCTGTGTGCTGGGGTTAAAGGTGTGGGCCATGCCTAGTGAGAGTTTTTTTTTTTTTTTAATTTCACGATATTTGGGAAAGCTGCATTAGGTTTTTCTCAAAAGATGAACATTTCTGCTTTATTCTTTTAATATTCATCTCAGTCCATTTAATGTAAATTGCACCTTTCATTTGAATTTATCTTTCTTTTTGGGGGGATAGTGTTGGGGAAACAAGATCTCATGTAGTCCAGATTGTCTTCAAATATTGTGTAGCTGAGGCTATCCCTGAACTGAACCTCCTGTCTCATCTGTGCCACTGTGTGCCTAGAATTTGTTTTTGTTGAGGCAGGTTCTTACTATACAGTCTTAGCTGGCCTTGAACTTCCGGCAGTTCTTCTGCCTTAGCCTTCTGAGTGCTGAGCTACTGTGCCCAGCTTCATTTGAACCTTTACTTCATGACAATAAAGTGCATGTTCTGTTTTCAGAATATGTGGCTTTCTCCTCATTCCGGAAAAATTATGCTGTAATACCTAATTCTCTGCTTTATGGTCCATTGTTGATAATGGATTCATATCATACTAGCAAGGATGAATCCAAACATCCTGCATAGTAAAGAGTAACTGATTTTATCTTGGAAAGATGCAAGAAGAGTGGATTTATAAATAGCTACAAAATTTAAGGACATATGCAGTGTATAGGTTAATTGCTTTACTGATTCATATTAGAACCAAGTCATCTTTATAGCTGGTAGGAGCTCTTCCCTAAAAATGGCAAAAGTATGTTGGTAATCATTTAAATAAATTCATTATTAAGGAAAAAAACTGCCTGAGGGTTACTTCATGACCCCTGATGGCACTGTCAGACAATACTGAGAGCTGTTAGTCTGAGTTGATTCCAGATTAGTGTGGTGCTTATGTTTCTAGATAGTTCATCCACAAAATGGAGTGTACATCACTTCCTGTTCTTTCACAACTGGCTCTTTCTCTGGATTCTCTTTTAATGACTTAATTTTTGGCATTCTGATATCTGATTTGTTAATTTGGTTATTATTCTCATGTTTTATAAGCAGAGGGATTTCTAAGAATCAACTAGTTTAGAGGCTTTTAATAATCCATTGCTTTTTTATTTTTTTAAGCATCTCACTATGAATACTGTCTGGCCTGAAACTCAGTAGGTAGACCAGGGTATCCTGAGCTTGATGCAGAGGCTTTCTTCTGACTCTTGAACTGGGATTACAGGCATGCTCCCTCAGGACTGGTCTAAGAGTGTCTGTGTGAGTCTATGTGTTTGTGAGAGAGGGAGGAGATGAGAGAGAGTGGGAGGGCTAGAGGAGGATGTTGTGTCCTGCTTTATCACTGACTGTCTTACTCCTTTAAAACCAGGGTGTCTTGGCTGGATCTAGGGGTTGGCTGATGGACAACAAGACCCATTGATTCTTGTTTCTGTGCCTCCCACAGTGCTGGGGAGGAGCTCATGGGCACAGCTAAGTTTTTATGTGGATTCTGGAAATTTGAACTCAGGCCTTCATGCTTGTTCAACAACTGTGGTTACCCACTTAGCTATCTCCCTTGCACCAAGAATATCTTTTTGTTTGTTTGTTTGGTTGGTTTTTTGTTTTTGTTTTTCAAGACAGGGTTTCTCTGTGTAGCCTTGGCTGTCCTGGAACTCACTCTGTAGACCAGGGTGGCCTCGAACTCAGAAATCCACCTGCCTCTGCCTCCCAAGTGCTGGGATTAAAGGCCTGTGCCATCGCTGCCCAGCAAGAATATCTTAATAGTATCAAAACATTGCTTCCGTTATGAAGATGACTCAAATTTAAACTCTGATGGAAGTTATGTTTTTTACTGTTCTGAAACCCAGGGCTTTAAGGATGCTAGGTAAGTAATCTTACCACTAGTTACATCCTTGCTGTTTGAAAGATTTAAAGGAGATACAGTAATATACAGAACCAAAATATGTGTAAAAATTAAATAGAAGATAATTGCTGTATATTCTATAATACAGATTTCTGGAGAGTTTTGGATATGATAATTATTTGTATGTTAATACAAAATAAGTATATCTTAGGGTTAGGAATATAAGTCAGGTGATAAGCTTGAGGTCCTAGGTTTAGTCTCCAACACTGCTTAAACCAGGTATTGTAGAACATGCTTGTAATTCTGTCAGTGACCTGTAATCCTGGCATGAAATTGGAGGTAGGAAGGTCCAAAAGTTAAAGACCATCTTAACTACAGATTTTTTTTTTTTTCCCTTTGAGACAGGGTTTCTCTGTGTAGCCCGGGCTGTCCTGGAGCTCACTCTGTAGACCAGGCTGGCCTCGAACTCAGAAATCCGCCTGCCTCTGCCTCCCAAGTGCTGGGATTAAAGGCATGCGCCACCACCGCTCGGTGGACTACAGATTAAGTTTGAAGCCAGACTGGGCTATACAAGACCCTGTCCTAAATATCTGTATATCAAGGCATATTTAGTCCCATGTAATAATGCTATTTACCAATAACAAACATACTAATTGAGATACTTAAATTTGGTGTTCAATCAAGTACACACATTCTTTCTGTCTCTGTCTTTCTCTCAAACACACACACACACACACACACACCATCTCCTCTCTGCCCCCCCCCCCTTTAAAATGTGTATGACTGTTTTGCATGCGTGTATGTATGTATATATGTATGTGTACCATGTGTATGCCTGGTGCCCAAACAGTCCAGAAGAAGGCATGAGATCCCCTGGAAAAAGATTTATAGATGGTTGTGAGCTGCCATGCGCGTGCTGAGAACTGAACTCTGGTTGTTTTCAAGAACAATAGCAAGTGTTAACAGCATTATTTTATTTTAATTAATTAACTAAGTATATTTTTGTGTCTGGGTCTTGCCATATCGAGGTGTTTTTCCTGTTCTTACCTTGGGTTTTGGGATTACAGGCATTTGCTACCACACAGGTTAAGATTGGATGCTCT